CTGGTGCACCAGCGCTCCAAACGATCCTCATATTTAAGTATCTATTTGGAGCAGAGGGAAGTGCTTCCTAATCCACCTGTCCTCATTTTTCTTTAAAGAGATGGTGCTGTGAATGAAAGGCTTCCAAATGTACTCAATCTCCTCACACGTGCGTTGCGTGGAGAGCGGAGTGGGTTGGGATGGGGCAGGCACGGTGGAGAAAATTTATGCGGCGTGTGCATGTAAGCGTGCCTGCGCTGGGTGTGCGGGGGTGGGCTGGGGGTGCTGCTTTCTTTTCTCTAAGAGTCACATCGGGAAACACAGAAAGGGGTCTGCAGAGGTCTTCTTCTCGCCTGTCCTATGACACCTCGAAAATGCCAAACCACAGGCTCAATGACGGATCATCCACCCAGTGAGATGTTAGTATCTCAGAAAATGGCATTTATAAGCCCGCTAATCAATGAGTCAAATTCCCCATTCTATTTATTTCTAAACCTTCCATCCCAAACCCTGGGTGTTCAGCGAAGGCAAGGGAGCTGACTCACTCCTACTGGGAGTCTGACCCTGCCTGCAGATAAGGGCTAGCTGCTGAGGGTCCTGGGAGGGATGCCTGGTTGACCACGGTGGGGGCAGAGCTACCTCATGGTCCTGGGGAATGAGAAAGAGTGCTCCACGCAGCCTTGGAAACTAACAGTGACCACTACCTTCTTTCCTGCCACAGTTGTGAGGGAAACAAAGAAGTAAAAACACCCAACTCGCACGCCCCTGAAATCAGAAGTATCCGTCTGGACAAAGATGTCTGTCAACTTAGACACAAGACCACCCCCAGCCTCCCCATCTCTGCATCATTCTGCCTTGCTCAGGTGCCCCACACCATGCGGCCAGTCTAGGTAACGGAGTCAAACTGGGGTGGGAGGTAGGTCTCTTGGCCTCTTAGGTTAGTGCAGTTCACCTCGGTGACTTACACAGGTCGGTGGCTCAGTTGGGTTCTTTGCCAAAACCTGTAAACCAGCCTCAGAAATTGATCGTGATCAGGGCCTTCTTTCCCGCCGTGGTGGTGAGGGCAACAAAAAAAGCAATCAAATCCAACTCGTGTGCCCCTAAAGTCAAAAGTGTCAGTATGATTTAAAAACTGGAACAGAATCCCAAACCCCCTTTCCCTTCCCATTAAAAAAACAAACAAACAAACAAAAATCCCCCCAAACTGGAAGCCCTTCAAAGCGAAGTGAACACGGAGCATGGCAATATATATCATAACACCTGGAGAGACACATGTATTGCTGCCAATCTCGTTAACTGTGAGAAGCAGGAGCAAAGGGTGCAGCCTGTAACCCAACGCCCCTCCCGCACCCCTCCGGGAACCCACGTTCCCAGCGAGATGTCCGACTCCACGCCATGCAGCCAGCTTACTGGCCTTTCGCACAAACCAAAAGTGGAGTTCTTGTTCCCCTCCCCCGGTGTCTTCTTCCACACCCCTGAGTCTTCTCAAGCTCTCACCACCCTACGTCTGGGTGCTGTGCCAAGAATCTTGGCCATTGTGCAAATTGATACAAAAGGCAGAGCCGCTCTCCTGTCACTCAGAAGGTCCTGACTCATAAAGGCCAGGAAATGCAGGGTCGAGAAGGGGAGAGAGATTCAAGTCACTCCCTCTTCGCTAGTGATAAACGTCCCGTCTGCTCAGAGAGCCGGGGCCCTGGGGCCGGAGGGGGTGGCGTAAGTAGTGACGGAGGCAGAGAGGGAGCAGGAAGCTGGAAAAAAGACAAGAGAAGGAGAACAGAAGGAGGAGGGAGAAAGTCTAGCGAAGGAGGGAAAACAGGAGCCTCATTTTCTCTCATCTCAGACCCCTCTCCACCCCTGCCTAGACCTGTCCCTTCCCACGTAGAATTACTTCAAAACAGCATCCCTCTTTGGGCAAACTGAAGTTTTTCTTGTCAGAATATCCACACTATTATCACTGTTCACATTAAGTTAGTTAATATCAGTAAAACACTTAGAAGAGTGCCCAGGGCATAGCAGACGATCGATAAATGTCAGCTATTAGTGCTACCAACTGATTGGGGAATTTAAAATGCAGTCAGTCAGATGTTTTATTATTGGACCAGCTAATACTCAGTTGGGTTCATGTATTCCTTTGAATTGACAGGATCTTTGGGCATCACGCGGATATAACTTCAGAGTCCCTCTACCATGCTTAAAAATTAAGAAAGAAGCCCACCCAGTGTGGCTCAGTGGACTGAGCATCATCCCATGGACTGAAAGGTCCCGGTTCAATTTCCATTCAGGGCACATGCCTGGATTTCAGACTCGATCCCCAGTAGGGGGCGTGTGGGAGGCAGCCGACGGGTGTCTCTCTCTCACATCGATGTTTCTGTCTCTCTCTCCCTTCCTCTCTCAAAAAAAAAAAAAATCAATGAAAACATCTTTTAAAAAATTAAGGAAGGAACAAGATGTCCAGTTCTCTACTTTGCTGTTCTCTTCTCCGGCTCCCATTAGACCGCAGATTCATTTCACTCGCCCTGACAGGAGAAACGTCGGTGCCGGGCCACGCAGTGCTCGCCCTGTCGGGGGAGGGATCTGGCTCAACGTTTCAGGCCCGCCTCTGGCTGCAGCCAGCCCCCACGCCAGTAGAGCCACAGTAAGAAGGCCACTGGCTTCTTAAGCATCTCACTTAAGCGCTGACCTCCATGCCTCCATGCACATGGGCACTGACAAAAAGGATGGTCTTATCTGAAACTTTTCTTAAATGACTTTTTTATTTGTGTGAGTACATGTGCCCACTGAGAGACTAAGTGAAAAACCACTGAGGGAGAGTAGGCGCCTGTGTGGCGCTGGGCGTGAGCCTGGGTGTGCACGTGTGAGCTGGGGGGGTGGGGGTGGGTGTAGAATCCAGGCTCCTACTTGTCACCACATTTCCAGAAAGAGCCTGGTTTTCCGGAAGAAAGAAGAAGACCCAAAATAGACCAATAACTTGTCCAAAGTCACATGAGAAGTGACAAAACGACTCCCCGGGCCCCATACTCCTTGCACTGAAGCGGTCTTAAAATAGACACTGCAGATAAAGGAGAGGTGGCCTGGCTGGAAGTGGGTATGATTCAGAAAGAGAGAAATATCAGATGTTAATCATATTAAAGGAGGATTTAGATGATGCTAAATGGAGCAGCCTGTTGGGTATCCCTTGATGCTGCCCGGCCCTGTTTGTCGTTCTGGCCCTTTACGCTACGAGGAGGGGCTTGCTTTCCAACCTTCCAGGTAAGGTTTAAACAACACTGAAAATCCTGATGTGCGTTGTGAAGATTTGTTCTCTCGAGCGAGTTACACAGCAAAGATGCAGCACCCTCCCGTGCATTTTGGGCGATTCCCTCAAGAAGCTTGATGCATGCTCCCAAACGGACATTTGTCCTAATAAACTGTAAAGAGTCCACTAGCACGCAGTCAAGTTCTCTTGGCTTAAAGCACAGAGCAACAGACTCACCAGAAGCAGGGGCGGGCAGGATGAAGTTCTGGGGATTTAAAAAAAAATGTTTAGCTTCAGGAGAAATCTCTTTGTCAATACATAAACCAGTGCTCTGTTACAACAGACTTTAAAATTCTGAAGCAGTACAAGGATGCCCGCTTTTAACGGGCTCAGCCCAAGAAACCAGGTTGTTGATAGCACAGGTGGCAAGCCACCGCCATTGGTCTTGGAAGGCAAAGAGGAATCGGTAGCTTGTAGCATAACCATGCAAACTTTCAAGGCAAAACCATGACTTTCCCTCTGCTAAGCTTCCAGAGTCGGCTCTTCCAAGGCCACCAGGATTGACCCGCCCTGTGAGAACAGCCGGGGAAAGGCCCGGAACGGAGTGGCAAGCAGTGTGGGCGGTGGCGGTCAGGTTCCCTTACGGGCAAGGCCAGCCCGAGGTGCCCCTCTCGCCTTTGAAGTTGCAAACTTCCTGGGCATTTCTGGGTACCCGGCTATGTGAGGAGAGCAAGACTGTTAGCATAAGGTCCCCGCATGAGCAGGTGGGGGAGAGGACATTCCTGCCCTTGAGATAATTGCAGAAAAGGAGCAACTTGGTCAAGCCACGGCCCCGCTAGGCTCATCACCGGGCTCGGCCTGCGGAACTCTCGCCTCATGCATTTCCTCCAGGGGTGGTCGCGGCACCCCACAGGGCTCAGGGACAGGCCCTTGTGAGGACTGGGGGTTCGTTCCTGCTCTCCCACAGAGCCATCATGTTGCAACGAACACGTCTGCCGAGGCGCCACACTGGCCAGTCAAGGAGCGTCTTCCTTGTGGCCACGCATCTGTTACTGCCTGGATTTTGCTTTCTGGGAATTGTCCACCCTGCTTTGTGTGTAGCCACAATATGTACGTGGTAGATGCCTAAGCGTGTATAAGAGTGTATGAACCCAGAGCCACGTGCTTGGGAAACCAGCCATATGCAAAATGAACATACTCATTCCTCCTCCCCAAACAAGCGACCGAGAAACAAAACCACAAACCGTGTCGATGGATCTCCTAGAATATGTACTTAGTAAATGCCATACCGTTTATTCCGTAGAGGATAGAAGGGCTGATTCAAGTTAAGAACGTGGAATCGCTCCCCCACCCACCTTTCTAGACTTCCTCAGACAATCGACGTTCACCGCCACCATCGCACGTCGCGTATGTTCAGCTCAATCGACGTGGCGGAACCTGACCGTGAAAAGGGCCCGTTGGGGCAGGGACCTCTTCTCTGGAAAGGGAACACCCTGTGTGTGGTCCCCACTGCCATTTTCTCTGGATTCTCCAGTTCCCTGCTCCTGTGGCCCAATGGGAAGCAGCAGAGCCCGGGCAGTGAGGAGGAAGTAGAAGTGGGTCGGGTCCCCCGGGCTCTGATGGGAACCACAGGTTGGGGGGCGGACCCTCGCTGTTGCTCTGCCTTTTACCTGCTGGGGGGTGACTTGTCAAATACCAATACACAGATGGAAGGACATTTCCAAGGAAAATAATATTTAAAAAGAAGAAACGGGAGATGAGCAAAAAGGTAAAGATGAGTTCCTACCTCAAAGTCATTGGCTTTATTGTAGTGCATGTTCAGAGCCCTGTACAGCTCACAGTCTCTGGTTATAGACAGCTCTTCCGTGCTGGTGACTCCGTCGTTGATGGCCTGCCGCGCGTACTTCTCCATCTGAATGTAGTAAAACTCACGGAAATTGCTAAACCACTTGATGAGCTGAGAGGTAATGCATCTGTTGAACTGTTAAATTTAAATATTGAAAGGGATAAGAACTCTGCCATTTTCTTCATTTATTCTTTAAGCATTCAAAGCATTTTTAAAGTTCCCCTCCCCCCCACCCTCCTCACTTGGAAGGGAATGTTTTTAATTCCACCAGAACGATGGCAAAGGGAGGCGTGCACAACGATATACTTACAGGATATTATAAAACCTACGAACAACGGAAATCTCATCACAACCCTCCACATTCCAGATTAGAAAACTCACGTCCTAAATCTGATTTTCCTCCGGCCCAGTGTCTTCCTTGCAACATGGTTCACCTTTCAGTAAAACAACTTGCATTTGTACACTTTTTATGGAAATTCATTCAAGAAATGAAACCCTGGGAAGAGTTATTACTTTCAAGTACCAGAGATGATGAGCCAATGACTTCACCATTAGCTTGATTTTTTTTTTTTAAAAAAATGAGAGATCGTGTCACCCCAGGACAGCCTCGTTCGATGCTGGAAAATGGCTTTCACAGAAAGGGGGAGGAAGCTGCCATTGGCTTCTTTTTTTGGTAATGGGTGATCCCCATGGCCATCCTCCTGGGACTGCACTTCATGTTGGCACATGGTACTCGTGTCTGGTGCCGGCGGGTCAGACCACCTCACCTGCTCTTACACATCCCGTGGTCAGCATCGGAGACCGTCCCTCGGAGGCCACGCTCACAGGCGGCACCGACAGAATCTGTCTCACGTTTTTGTTTTTGTTTTAAATGCCAAGTTTCCATAACATGATTCAGCTTTAAAACTTTGTTTACCAAGGCTTCTTGATGACCTTTTAAATGAAGATGTCGCCCTGGCTTTGCTACAAATGACACCCTTCTTATTGACAGTCCCCTGTCCCCGTAAAGGAAAGATGCCTCTCAACTTGCCAAGTCAAAGCCAATAAATCCATAGCTTTATATCAGGCGGGCTGACAGACAGCCCCTGCCTTTTGTCCTCCCAGGCATTCCCTTCCCAGGGCCCCCAGAAAAAGATACACATTCATCAAAAATCAACAAAGACCACTTATCAAACACTGGCCATGAGAACATCCAGACTCCAGGAAGATGACAGCTAAAGTGTGTATTGGGGCTGTAATTACTACACAGAAAGTTGTTCCTACCCTAGCAAAGATAATAAATGAATGAAAATTTATGGCAGAGAATGAAAGTAACAAGGAAACAGAAGCAGGGAGACTGCTGTTTCTCCCAAAAGGCCAACTTGCATCATAATTGCCATGGAGTTGCAAGGGCCCTTACTGATAATTGACCAGAAAATGATTAAGTCATCAGCAAATCGCTTCTGCTTGCAAGAGTTCAAACATGTACTTAACCTATCCAAGAATTATATTTTTACTCTGTGTGTCTGCTCTGTCTCTATTCAGCCTTGTGGGGAACCCGATTAAAAAGACAACTGAAGGACCCCCGTTATCTGATCTTCTGGTTGCCGATTTCAATAGAACTTAAACCCATTACGATTTGCTGAACTTGGAGTTCTTTCCATTTTATCTCAGCAGTAAAATACACTGTCCAAATTTCCAGACACTGAGATAAGGCTACAGGCCCCCGTGACAGCTTACTGTTCCTTTTTAATTCTTTTAGAATAAGAAACAAAACATTACAAAATGATAGCAGGCTGTGCACTGGGGAATGAAAATTGCTTTGACATGGAGATTAGGCTTCTGCATTGTTACAAGACATTGTCTCATATGGACAAGAGTACTGTAGAGGAAAAAAATAGAAGGGTATTTTTTTTTTTTTTTTTCTAGAATGGTCATGAATGACCTAATGGGGAGGACAAAAAAGTAAGTGCACTTGCCATTGTTTAGGAATGGGACATAAAGGGAGATTTAAAGCTTATTGTTACAGAATGGAAATAACACAGAGAGAGAATGGGCAAAAACAACAGCCTCCCCAAACAGGAGACAAGTGAAGGGACTGGCACAGCGGCTTGGAGAACAGGGTCCCCCTCCTCCAGAGCAAACTGTGTTCGCTTTCGGGGGCTGGCTGAACGCAAAGTCAGGCTCCTTCTTCTCCAGACACTCACTTTGGGGGAAGAAAAAGTGTTAAACTTTAAAGAATTCATTTTCCCCCGTTCGGTAGTGGCTGACAAGCAAAGGATCAATTGTTCTCTAAAGGAAAGCTCTGTAGTGTGTTAATGTATTACTGCAAAAACTAATCGCTACAATAAAGAGGCTGTGTTTTCAGTGTACGAGTCCCTGTGACTTTGATTAATGCTTCCCACGGGACATCTCAGCCTCAATATGGGCTGAAGAAACTTCCTAAATATTCAATGAGCATGGTCAAAAGATGTATAAAACAAATCAATCTGACACCTTAATCTGGTGAGGCAGCAGTTGACTCAAGGGGTGGAGGGAATGAGATACATCATTTAACACTGCCGACTTGAAAAGCTGTGCTCGTCTGTTCTTCAAAGCTAAAATGACACCGACTCTGTTGTACTTAGTGGTCTAAGAGTTATTAGTTTATACATTAAAATCAGCACCCATCAGTCCTTGGCATCTCCCTTCCATTCGCCCCGTTGCCCTTCTCAAAGGACCTGAAGCCCCCAGGAGCTGAGCTTTTTGTCTGGCTGAAGTGTCATGGCGAGGGAATGTAGTTGGACTCTCTGTGAGAACACGGGGCTCTGTTTAGATTCTTGCTCCAGGCGTTCAACTAAGGGAGCCCTGGTTTCATCCTTCATCCACATCTTCCCCGTGGAAGATCTTTCACCAAGCCAACCTCTCGGACATGGACGGGTTGCCCCTTCCTCTTCCTTTCCAAGGTAATTTATAAGCCTTCACCTCTTTCCCGGATGGAAGTCACTTGTGGAGAGCGACTCACTATATCCATTCCGAAGGAAATAACAAAGGAGGGTGCATCCCCCTGGCTGGGCCTGGAGCTGGTCTGGGGATTAACTCGGCCTCACGCCGTCTTCCAACTGTGTCTTCTGATGATTCCTGGGCTACACCTTATTCATGAAACAAAATATTCCCCTCAAGTGTTGTTTCTCCTGGATTTTACTCGCAAAACTAACTTCTGATTACTATTTGAGATAAAAATGACTTTATGATTTGAAAAGGTACATTTCGCTAGAATTAGGAATTTTAGATGAATGTGGCTAGCAATCAAGGTAGTACAAGCTTGTGTCTTTGTGACAAGTATTACTTGGTCCATAGACACATGAATGTGTCCTTTTCAAAATGTATGATGAAGGGTTTTATTTCTGATAAAACCTACGGGCCTTTCCCCAATTTCTAGAGATCTCTCAATTCTGTAGTGGTTTCTTAAATCCAGACAGATACACGATTTTGATTTTATATTCATATATAGAAAAACATCTAGTTATTTCAGCCTTGCAAATAAGTATCCACATTGTCCATATTCAAATTCTGTATTTTCTTTAATAGTAAAGAAACTCAAGAATGCTCTGCCAGCCCTGGCCAGTTTGGCTCAGCAGTTAGAGGGTTAGAGCATCAGACTGAGGAGGGAAGGGTCTCGGGTTCGATTCCAGTCAAGGGCACGTAACTGGGTTGGCAGGTCTGATCCCTGGCCCCGGTCAGGGTCGGGTGGGAGGTGACCAATAGCTGTGTCTCTCTCACATTGATGTTTCTCTTTCTCTCTCTCTCTCTCTCTCTCTCTCTCTCTCTCTCTCTCTCTCTCCCCCCCCCCTCCCTCCCTTCCACTCTATCTAAAAATCAAAGGAAATCCTCAGGTGAGGTGAGAATTACCAACAAAAAAGAATGCTCTGTCATTGTTTTCTAGAAAGTTTCTGGAACACCTTGTCTGAATTTTTCCTTTCTATACATGACTATCTGTTACCATTAGTGTAAACTCAGGGAATACAAATTCATGTATTGCTAGCCAAAGGAAAAACATCATTAGTGAAGTTAAAAGTGTATGATTCATGCCAAAAAAGTAGAAATGACCTCTGGTGATTTTCTGCGGTGCATGCTATGCCCTACTTCCCTCTGCCGGCATGGACAACTGTAAGTTCACCAGGCTCACGTATACCTTAGGAGCCTTCTCTCCCAGGATGGAGAGAACATGGACAGGAATCTATAACCCAACAGTCAGTTGGTATTTATACAGAGCAAGTGGTTACCTGAAAAGCTGAATTACTGGATGCATTCTAAAGGCATGAAAACCAATGTCAGTGGCTTTACACTGCGTAGGACTTAGAAAGCTACAGATCGACCACCTCCCCCACCCCTGCCCTTTCCCCACCACATGCACACACGCGCGAAAACATGAATAGTTCTAATATTTACATCTACTGTTGGGTAGTGTTGCTGGCTCAGACTGGCTGCTGCTTTCCACCCTCCAGGTGGCTGCATTTCAGTGGTGGGTGAGTGATCCCTATGCATGCAGTTTGTATAGTTCTTTGGCCTCCTTCTGGATGAAAGGTGCTATATAAATAATATAACGTATTGTCATTATTATATCACAACACTGCAAACCATTGTGCTAAGAGGAGTGAAGGAGGTGCCATGGCCACACACACACACACACACACACACACACACGTGTGCACAATAACATTTTTGTCCCTGCCCTCCTGGAACCAAAGTGTTGAAAGGATTCTCTGGAAGGACTTTGCCAGGTTCCACTAGGCTCTAGAAGCTGGCTGGTCCTCAGCCGGTTGACACATTTCCCTTTAATTGGTCTACTCTCAATGGTCACCCACAAAGTCCAAACCCTTTTCCTGGCCTCCTGTGTCCCTCAGCCTGGTCCGTGCTGAAGGATTCCGCACCAGCCATGCAAGTGACTGCCTGGGTCTGCCTTCCCCATCCTGCCCAGGGTGCTGGCACTGAGTGTGGGCAAAACATGCCTTCCACTTAAGGAGCTCCGCCAGGGAAGAAGAGAGATAAAAGGCTGAAGTTGATACACAATTCAAAGCAAACAGGAGGGAAAACAGAACTTTTCTTAGAAGGCCAAATAAAACATCAGTGAAGGAAGCTGAAATGAGTTGGCCTGCAAACGGGGGCCAGAGACGCAACGTGGGCACCGGGCACAGAACACTGCGGGGAGGGGCGGTGGGGGCACGAGCATATTGTGGCTGCTGGTGAATTCTCTCAATGGCAGAAATAAGAACTTGTGCATATGGGGAGTGGGAGGGGAGGGTGGGGGAGAACGCACCAACCCCACTAAACTAATCTCAGCTAATGTAATGTTTAGCAAGATCCTTGGATAATGATACCACGCGTGTCATTATCGTCATCAAAACCCAATCTATGTTTTAAAAAGTTACAGATGATTAACACAACATCAAGTCGATGCAAACAATTACTTAACCCCCCCCCCCCCACATACACACACACAGAACCAGGAGGTCCCCATATTCTGCAGAACGAAGGAGGCTGCAGCTGTAGGGCCGACAGCTTTCATATCCTCATTTGAATAATGTGTCCTGAATCTGTCACTTTATTCATTCTCCTTATGCTCAGTGTACTCTACATCAACAACAAATTAAGTTGTAAATAAGAGACAATCATCACTTTTGTTTTGAAGCAGCTACTGCGTAGAGAATTTCAATGCACGCTCCTTTTCGGCAGGGGGGTAAGGAGGTGCTGGAGTTTGCTTTCATAAGCACAGATATGGGGAAAGGAACAGAAATAAAAACAGAAACCGTTGACTGTTGCTGAGGGGAGGGAAAAACATCTCCTGAAGCACATCTGTTCAGTACCAGCTGAAATTTCTTCCAAGAAGTTACGAAGACGTACAAAGACAGAGGCTAAGTTTCCCCGACTACCATGGAAACCACGTGACTTATTAATACCAGTCCTGTGGTCTTCGTACGGCAGGGGGCAGCTTTGCCTGGCCCAGCTCTAGACAGAATGACAAGTGCATTAAATCAATACAACCCATGTGTATCCATGAACGGAGTCCACACTCATCTCCATTAGCTCCCAAGAGTTCAAATCGCAACATGCACAGAAATTGAAAAAAATAGCAATAATAAATAACACAAAATGTCCCTACCTTTACATCGGAGAAGTAGGTCTTCAGCATATTGGAGCTGGGATAACGGGTATAAAAGAACATGAGCTTTGCTTTTTTCAAGTGATTGGGTGACAATCCTTCCTGCATGTAGGACGCAATCGGTTAAGGAAAACATTTCTTTAAACACGGGACCAACCACCTCCCCCTCACCGGGAGTCTGGAGGCCCACCAAGCAGCCGTGGGAGTTCTGGAAGGTCAGTGGCCCAGCCATGGAACCCATCCCTGACTTGCTGCTGCTTGCTGGGAGTGCCCACTGCCTGTCAGAAATCGCCAGATGCCATGTAAGGACATACAATTTACTTGCAGCATCTTGGCTACTTTGTAGCGAGGATGGCAAAACAGGGCCCCTCTATCTATAGGTTCACTTGTTGCTAAGGAGACAAATGCACCCATCACGTGCTACACAACTCTTATCATGAGAGTTTTTCTTCTTCTTCTTCACAATTACAGTTCTGTTTATTCTTCTCGTCACACTCTGCATTTTACATCAAATTATTATACTAATGTGTGTGAAAACACAAAAGGCATTATTTTGAACACTGCTAGGCAAGCTTCGCATGTCACCTTTTAGTGCTAATGTATCGGGGCGTCTTGACTCACTTTCTTCTTGCCGTATGATTAAATCCTTGTAATTGTTTCCTTTTAAATAACAGCTAAATTTGGGGAGGGGTAGTTCTGGCACAAAGAGAATGGGGAGGGGGTGTCGCTTTTGTTAAAGCAACGATCCAAAACCAAATACAATTTGCCTCTCCCAGATTTATAGTTAACTCCTTGGAGAGTAGTGCAGTGGTTGGGGCTAAGAAATCAATAACGGTGGGTTAGCAGATCAATAAATGGCCACTTACCCCAAATAAGAAGGCCTATTTATCTGGAAACATCATTACCTTTTAGATCTGTAAACAGCAGCAACTAAAACAGTTCCCGAGAGAATGTGAGGCTAACCATAACAATCCCGGCTTCCTGATTCTCGCTCAGATTCTTGGCACCCCTCGCCAGCCTCGGAGCTGGGGCGGCCCTGGTCACATCTGTGCCGCAGCCTGGCCCTGCCATTTCCTCAGCAAATTAATGGCTTTATAATTTATCAGAAATGAAGATGCACGTGGAGAAAATCAATGTGGTCCCCCACAAGGTCAATTAAGGGTCCTTCCTGGAAGCTTCTCTAAGGATTTTCTCTTAAAAGAGAGTCTGGGAAAAATTAGGAAAAAAAAAAAAAAAAAAGAAAAGAAAATGTGCGTGTGTGTGTGTGTGTGTGTGTGTGTACTCTACTGCCCTCTCTCCCCTAAATTTCACACCTTATACAAAAAGGTCAAATAAACACAGATATTTAGAAAAAAGGAGAGGTTTCCAAATGACCTCCATTAAGCACAGCGCGAACAATCTTCGCGAACAGAGGGAAACCAGAAAGTTACTGCAGAAGCATCGTCAAATTAATATTGATAAGCTCTTGACTCCTTACAACAGGGGGTTTGGCCAAATATTCTGCTGAGAAGGTGATTAGCATCCCCTCTAATATCATGCAAATTTGTGAAAGATCACCTTGGTTTGTAAACAGAAGAGTTAAATATTGGACTGTTTTTCCACCACTGAAAATAAACACTGAAGCAAGAAATTTTGATTTTCTATCTGTAAGCCAAAGCAGCTTAACTGAACTTGTGTTTTTGTTTGAGATCCTTAATGATTACAAAGACGATAATTTATGACTGACATACTTTTTGTGCCAAGGAAAGAGCTGAAAGGCCCTCCAGTAACCTCCATTAGACAGATACAGAAGACTAAAGGAACACAGCACACTTCAGGACCATCTGTCCAAATGGATAAGTGAAATAATAGTTGCAAGCTGTCTCCTATTGCCTCATGATAAGAGTTTTAGGCAAGTCCAAACTTTGACAAACATTCTCAGATCTGGGTTCTAATCTTTTTTTTTTTTTTTCAGACGGCTCTATTAAAACGACCTCGGACGTTTAACTATTAAGGGGGACAATGTCCCACCTCTTTTAAAATGTGGTCTCGTACAAAACACATCGTTTTGCTGTGGTTTTCAGATGGTCACAGAGCCGCGGAAACTTCCTGAAGCCTCCCATACATTTAAATGTGACTGAAATGGTTTTGTCCCTTTTATTGAAAAGACAAGCGAACATCCATCTTCTTTTGATGGGGATGTAGAGGCTTTTCATTTCATGAAAATATTATTCTGATTTGATTTCTCAAGTCTGTTTTGCTTTGAAACGCTTCCTGTTGGTAATACTTGGAATCGATCAGTTGAAATGGAACACAGAATAAATCTTTCTCTCTCGCTCATCGTGTAATTGAGATAAAATTCCCATAAAATATATGTTTCTAATAAACTATTAAAAATAGCTAATGAAATCTTTAAAAGCCAACAGTTAGATAATCCTTTTTTTGCCTCCTCAAAATAAATCTGAACTGACCAATTGGTTAATTTCCCTTTTAAGTGCTTGTGCTGAAAAGCAACTGTTCTTCCAAGAAAGCACTAGCTGTTTCCAGGATACTTACACACGCACAATGACTCATGATGGAATAGATTCAGTAAACATACAGCTGTACTGAACACGAGCTAAGCTCCATTCAAGGCCAGGAAAGAAAATGAGCACAAATAAATATTAAGGAGGTAGAGGGGGGTGGGGTGAGGGGGGGGGGCAGAACGCAAACAAGATCTGTCCAGGCAGCTCATGTGGCTTTGCCTCAATTCTCTTAGCCATAGCTTTGTGAAGACAGATGACATTCAATTCTATGTGTAATGCAAAATAGACAATAACTGCTGAAACTTGAGACAGCTGCCAGGTGTAAAAAAAAAAAAAGAAAGAAAAAAGAAAAAGAAACTGGGGGAAAAAAGAAAAGATGATAAATCCATAAATTAATGAAAGACATCTGCTCAGGAATATAAAAGATCAGAGAAGTAGAGTGCTACAGCTGAATCTCAAGCGGTGTTCAAACAACCTGAGAATCGGAGTGTTGTCTGTGTACCAAGCACAATGTAACCTACCTACACACAGCAGCGGGAGGAGCAGCAGAGGCAGCAAAAGGCGAATGGGAGAATAGGTTGTGGAGGCAGGAGGAGGAATATTCTCTTTTTCCAGGGGAACTCTGAATTGTGGCTGGAGATCTCTCAAGCTGCGTGTCTAACCGAGCAGATTGGGGCTGTTTCCTTACATTTTCTAAACCGCTTTGAAACCCAAAGAATTCCAGCTTTCCCCCTTCGGCTCCAATTTGCTCTGTTTCTAAGACGCTGGTCCCCGGGAAATCTTAAATGGGGAGAGAAGAGCTTAAACTATCTCATTTCGTGAAAGTAATAGAGCAATTAAGTTGTTGCTCCTCTAAGAAGTTCCAAATAACCGGGGGATGCAATTTTTTTTGGTAATTTACTCCATAATGGTGAAACCTAGAATCCTTCCGTCTTGAATATACGTTTCCCTACAGCTAATATAACGACTATGGCCCCACAAGGCTTTTTAAAATGTAAAAGATCAACTTCTGTGGATTATTTCACATTCCAGAAATTCATTTTTTTTAAGCCATGTTTTCCAGTTCAGTTTGCGTGTCAAACTATTAAACACGGTTCCTTTCTAAACTTCTTCAAGTACTGTTGACATTCTCCCTAAAAGTCCGGTAGAAAAAGCTGGCTTCCCAGAGAAAAGCCTCGGTGTCTTCACCTGCCTGTCTTAAAGGCTTAAAGCCCTCCTCTTGTGTTTTAATTGGGTGCATGCAAATGTCTGAGGCCTGCACAAGGCTATTTTTCTTGAGATGCAAAGAGGATGGACGACAAGGAACATCACGGAGAAAAACAATTGGCTGGCTGTTTCTTTTGGAATTTGAATACAACTTAATATTTGATTAAATAGATGCATTTGCAAAGATACTGAACATATATATATATATTTTTATATCCAGAACATGCACTGACATCCAGCTTTATCATGCACACACTCGCTCTTTGCTTTCTATTAGAAGGGATAACCAGGTAGTGTGTTCTGTGCTATAGAACACATATATGTTTCATGTGCCGAACTTAAGTGGATTTATCTGATAAGCTGGTATTCTCAGTAGTTCTTGTCTTGGCGACTTTGTTCGGGGAAACAGATGATGCCCTTTGGAGTGGGAAAGGCTTGTTCCTTAAGGATTAAATTATTCATTACACCTTGGAAAGCCATGAACTAAAAAATGAAAACAAAATAACGATGATTATGGTCGTATCATTTCATCTCGTGTCTCTGATCTCTTCTAGCAGTAACTGGACACATATGGGCTTATATACTTAAAACTGAAGTAAGATACCACTCACTGTCGTTCCCAGAGATTTCTTTAAACTGAACACTTGAGAATATTGCCCACACATCATCAGTTAAATCAAGGGAAGAACCCAGTGCCACACAAAGATGGAGAGAGCGGAAAAGTGGGTCTAGTTTCCCCACAAACACTCAGATCCTCCCTGGCTGCAGAACCGCTAGCCTACCTTCTGCCTAAGAAATAACATATCCATGAGCTACATGGTTAAAATGGGATGTGGTAGAGGGGAAAGAGACAGAAGGTTCGAAGGTGGAACATGTAATTGTTCATTGCAACAAGAAGTCCAAATTATTTAGCTACATGAGACACCTCCAGGTATAAGCAACTAACATTTCATGGGAACACAGGTGTTTCTCAACCATCACTGTGTAATCAAATATTATATTGGTCAGAGAGAGGAGAAGTTATTCGTCTGAAGAAAACGCAACTATATTCTCTTTAAAGTCCTGGATACGTGTAGAAATAAAAGGAACTTCTTTCCATTCAAATCCTTAAAATTCCTCAAGGGATTTAGAGGGTGAGACAATGAGCATGGCCAACACTTGAAGCAATCAAAAAGATTTTTTCCCTAGAAGACCCAGCTTACTTAAAAAAAAAAAAGAAAGAAAGAAAGAAAACAAGCAAGCAATTATCTGGTTATAATGAAAAGTCTAATTAAAAAATGGCAACATAAACTGGCATCTTGAGTTAAGGAGTTTGGTATGGACTTACAGGACTATGAAATCTTGCTTCAAATAGTCACCCAAATAGGCATGTCCCTTTCCAGGGTGTGTGTGTGTGCGCGCGCGCTCGCACACACACGCATGGAGAGAGAGAGAGAGAGAGAGAGAGAGAGAACCCACCATCACTACTATTGGCTTCAAAATGAACTAAAGATCTCTGAGGAGAGACGGGGTCTAGCCTGATATGAACCTCAGAAGATGCTCTTCTTGGAAAGGGTAAAAAAAAAAAACATTCAAGTCATTGTGTCTTCTTTGCCTTTCTCATCACCAACAGCTACAGAGCAATCATTTTCACCTGTTTACTGCCCGCTCACAACAGGTAAGGCGTGGTGCTTAGCACAGATGGGATTCATGACTGGGGGGTTACATTTTAGGTCTTTGAAAGGTCGACGTTAAATCGGCAACCAATTCAAGACTCAGTTTCTGTTTCTGTAGCTAGGCCCTCAACATCTTTCTCTCAGGACACGATTCTCTCCTTCCTCATCAGGCAAAGAGATTCTGTGTTAAACTGCCCAAATGGGTCTCATACTAGTTGCTCCCATTTGCCTGATCGGAAATCTTCGCCAGTATCCTAAGATTTGGCTGGAAGTATGACTTTTGCTACCGGAGAATGTACATTTCCGCCAGAGCCGGGGCTCTGCACTTACGTGGCGGCCTCTGGAGTGGGCTTAGATACTAAAATGTCAATTTCTAGTCATCAAGACGATTGCTCAAAATCCTCAAATTAGCAACAGCCAACTTAATTGCTAAATTTTATATCCATCTGGCAATTTATTATAAGAGAAACATGTTTCTACCTGCCCCCAAATGCTACTAGTCTACTAGCCCAGAACACCAATGACCACAAGATTTTTAAGAATTTACTGCAAGAACCAATTTACAGAGAGAGAGAGAGAAAAAAAAAAATCATCAATTAAAAATAGCCAGAGTTCAGGACAGGTCTAATAAAAAATATAACTGGCATCTCTACATCAAAGTCAGGTTCAAAATATAAAAGAGTCATAAAAAGAGCCATTTTTTAAGTCGAATACAGCTGAGTTTGATATTTAATTGTGCTCTCTTGCTTTCCAAAATAATTTGCTTTGTGTATGTTAGGACAAAAGATTTCTGTGTATGGCTGAACAGAGGTTAATCATGCATGGAAGGCAGCTGCACCAGCCCCAAAGAACAGACCTTGGGTGAATGAGGGAGAGAGACCGATGCCTTCTGAATAAATCAGTACCTGTGTATTTACTTTAAAAAAACCACGTCTCACTTCAAGACTAAAGAGAGACTCCAACTCCCCTCTCACATCCATCTTCCTCCCACCAACACAGTGCTCTTCAGCAGGTTGAGCCAGGTCTTCTTTAAACCGCCCGGGGACCCATACACGACTTAAAGGGAGAATTCTTATGGCATCTTAGGGATCTGAAACGGACTTTCCTCTCCATTCTAAAACTTACACGCTCTTAAAAATATATCTGATAGAATTCAATATCACAATGAGATGTTTTTCCATCTCTGATTCTACTTTTTAAAAAAAGAGAGAAAGATAAGATAATACAGGAGGAAGAGCAGGAAACAGCACAACTGAAAAAGCACAAACTAAGTCCCAGCTCCTGGGGGCCATTCACCGCTTGTGCAAGATGCCAAGATGGTTGATTTAGCGGGAGGGTTTTGTGCCATAGGAAATGCCACAGGGGCGCTGATGAAAACGTACTACTTGGAGTCACAGGAGAGACTGAATTCTCAAGGAGACACTAATCTACAGTCTTCTACATGGGGTGTACACCTGACCCTCTGGGAAGCCCGTTTTGTGTGGTTTTGCTCTGAGGAAAAAAGTCAAAGGATATTGCACTTCCCGAGTAAGGTGAGATTTCGGACATGTCTTGAAGATCGCCACACTCGGACTTGATGAGTGACAGGGAGAGGCCTTCCGCCGAGCTGGGTGGGTGTGCTGGTGAACAAGGGTGGTGGCTCAGGTGGTGGGATGACATCTTGGTCCTCAGACTTGTGGTCTCCCTAGTTAAGTCTAAGGACTCGGGAGATGCTCGGTCTTTTCCCGAGAAGGAGCCGGAGGGAGCACCTAGCGGACTCTGAAATGGATAGGCCATCAGGGGAAGGGGGAAGGGATGGCGGAAAGTGGACGTGGTGAAGCCCGCCGTGGCGGAGAGAGGGGACTGGTGCAGGGGCTGGTGGTGGCCACCAGTGGGGGGGCCGGAGGCAGACTGGTCAGATGAGTTTTTGCGGACCACCAGGGGCAGTGCTTCCGTCTGGTCTGTGGAACTGGGCATCTGTACGCTGCCAAAGCTGTCCAGGGGGTTCGGAATGATGACGTCGCCAAAGCACTGCAGGCGCTGGTTGGCGGTGTGGAAATTGTGGTTTTCCCCATTGACTGCAAATCTGGCCTGGGGGATCTGGAGAGGGGGGAAGACCTGAGGAACCTGGCGGGAAGGTTTGGCCGAAAAGACTTTGACCACAGTGTCCACAACTTGCGACATGGCAGAGTTCAGTTCCTGTTTCAAGGTCTCGGCCAAATGTTTGCCTTCTGGTTGTAAGGAGTTTGGCCCGTGGTCCCTCTCTTTGTTGTTGCCTTCTCGCTTCGGCTTGTTCTCAGCCATTTCCTGCTCCCTGATCAGGGCCCGGGCTCGGTCAATGAACTGTCCTGGGTCCAGCTCGCACATCTCATTATCTGACCTCCCGACGGAGTCCTGGGCCCTGGCATCCAGGATCTCCGAGCGCATGCTGTCTTCAGACAGGTTGCCATCTTCATCATTTTCGGAATCAGTGCTGTCATAGATTTGGTAGAACTTTTCCTGCAGCTGGCGCAGCTGTTTCTGCATGTCCTCCAGCTGCTGTTTCAGCTGTCGGCGCTCCTCTCGCTTCTGTTCTTTTCGGGCTGAAACCAGCTGCTGGAAACTCTGTTGCTGCTGCTGCGGCAGCTTTTGCTTGCGTTTGTTTTCTCTGTAACTTTCTCGGGGGCTCACAGACTGCGGGGCCATCTCTCTTTCGTTTTCATTGCCCCTTAATGCCACACTGGGGGAATGGCTCATACCCCGAATTATATTCTCAACCCGGGCGCGCTTTGCTCTCAGGTGCTCATCACATAAGCGATCCATATCAAACTGGCTCATAGTAGGCCTGCCAAAAGGGGAAAGACACTCTGGGGGGCTGTCTCTTGAAGAGTTGCTGCATATATCTTCCTGATGTACTTCGGAGCCTGTGCTAGAGAGACCGCTGGCTTGGAAACTGGGCTCCGTGCCACCATTTTTGTTCATGTTATTTTTCAACAGCTGGGAAATTATGGTTGCTCCTGGAAAAGGCATCATGGCATCTTCATACGAGTTCGCCCTCTTCAGCAGCTTGCGGAGTACATTTGACTTTTCCCCATCTGCATGCTGCACTACTGAATACTCAACATCCTGCTCGGAACCTTGGGGATTCATGGCACTAAAAAACGTTGCTCTTGCCTTAGCAAAAAATGCAGATGCTGTCCCTACCGTCCTTTTCACTCCAATGTCAACTCTTCTCCTCTTGGTTTGCCGGCTTAAGAGGGCTGTGCTGTCATGGTCAGGCATCACTGGACAGTTATTGTGCCATCTTCAAAAGCTCGTCAGCTGGGCACAGCTCAAGAATCCCGGGACCCTGGCCAACAGAACAAAAGGACTGATGAATCATTTTCTTTAAATTTCTCCAAATTTCCTGACCTCAATCCTGAATCAAATGCAAAATGCATAGGCTCTGGGATTTATGGCACATTACAATTATTGCAATTTATTATGCACTCTGCTTGAAATGAAACATTTTTAAATATTTCTGCTCCAATGGTTTAAGATGGATTAAGATTAAAAAAAAAAAAAAAGGCAAAAACTGCTTAAGCACCAGTAATATGATTCTCTTTCACAAATGCCTAAAATGATACTGTTTATCTTCAGAAGAAATAGTAGATTATAAGTACACAGCCTCTGACAACCAATTGATTAAATTTTGGGCATTGAGATTCATATTACAAAAGAAGATGAAAGTGGGCTACCCTTAAGACATAGGGTTAAATTTTTAAGCTGTGTGAAATTTGGATGCAAAATCCCATTTCTGCATTAAAATTATTGGGATTTTAAGGCTAGGGAAAGAATTCTACAATAAATGCAAATATTTAAAACACACCCTTTATTACTGAATTTAAAAAATATTTTTGTCATAGATGAAATAAAATGAGAACACCTCCATCAGCATCTTTCCAACAGAAATGATCAATTTAACATTGAAATAAATGCAAAATCACTCATATTACAAGACTGCCTATTCAGCATAGATATTTATTTTTACCAGTAAAATCACGTTTGAAGATGGTATCTGTTTCTTTTATAATGTAAGTATGAGCATATTTATAAATTTCATGATGTCCTTCTGATTACTTAAATAAAGTTGAACTTACTGCCAAAGAACGATGTTTCATTTTAGAAATCAATAAATTGAGGTAGGCAAGAATACATATATCTTCAGGACTAGTTTTATTCTGTTAAAATTTGCCAAAATACTACTTCATATATTTTAAAAAACTATTAATATATACCACTTGTGAATTTTATTTCATATGCTAGATTTAAGGGGAAAAAACACACACAAAAAAGATATATAAAGGAAAAAAAAATAACATTACTCCAATATACGTGAGAAAGGGAAACACCTTCTCAGCACATGAACTTCCATTGTTTCTTGGGAACACAATGTAAAAAGAGAATATCTTTCCTTGCATTTTAGAAAAGGCATTTGACATATTTTATGACTTATTAACTAGTGATACTAACCCCAAACTTGGCATAAATATAATGTCACATCTTTTTTTGCTTACAACTAACATTTTATGAAGACAATGAGATTTTTTTTCCTCACCCAGGGTTTATCTAATATTAAACTTCACGTGTGCCTAACAGAGCACATCTTCACAATAACAGGGTCCATGGCCAAAGGCAACGTGCAGAGGGTTGGAACCGCTCCCATCTCTCTCGGTTCACCTGTGAAAACATCTACGTGCTCCCTAGGACTGCATCTGTGGCTAGTTTTAAAGAATGACTATCCATGCAAATAGGCATAATTTCAGTATGAAATAACCTGTGAAAATCAAGAAAACGCTCAATGCTTAGATGGCTGTGTGTATTTTTTTTCTTTTAAGCGAGAAAGATTTCATCATGCATGCAGTCCTTGCTCCTAGTTTCTATATGAAGATACAACATTTTAAAAGAGCCTATTTAGAGTATCATGAAAGCAGTTTGTATATGTGTGTGTGTATTATATATATATAATATATAACCTTTATATAATATATTATATATATATTTATAACACACACACACACACTCCAGAAAAAATACTTTTTTCATGCCTCAGGATAAAATTTCCTGAATTTAGAATGGAAACAGACCTTAATAACCTCAACATTTGGTTGAAAATCAAATTCGAAATAATTGCGACCTCTCATACATTAGTAATAAAATTGATATTAGGAATAGAAACATGCAATGACAAATCTTTCACTAACACATTAGATCTGATAAATCAGGTGTAGCTGTCAGGTGAGAGGAAAAAAAAAAAAAGAAAGTGAGACAAACAAGAAAAAAGAGGAATTATTTCAAAGCTCAGAAAGACTTGCATATTGAGGGAAAGGTTTTTCTTCGCATGCATATCACTTTTTCCAAAAGTAGAGTTCATTTGAAAAATTTTCCACTTTTCTTTTTGTGTACAAATCCCTTTCTCCTTAGTATCACCTAAAAAGCACATGGAGCTCCAATCAAAACACTGAGCAAACTTTCTGCAGTGTTCTCCTCCTGTTCACCTTCACACCCAAAAGGGATTTTGCTCCTACCCATCCCTGCTATGGGAATAGCACCTCTGCATCAGAGGCGCAGAAATGACAAGCTGTGTAAGAGATGAGCAGAAGGTCATCCCCAGACATCCTTCCTTTCCCAACTGCCTTTTACCTCTGAGTCAATTGCATTTCCTCTCCTCTAGTCTAGGTATCAACAGCTACATCCCTGCCTCATGCGGGAGCCAAGAGGAGGGCTGTGCTCTTCCTAAGGTGGAAAGAAATGACACTCGCATCTTCACTGGGAAATAGTGTTAAACATGCTTGTTGGGTCTTTTAAGAACATAATATACTGTAACTTCCTCCAAATTCACCAAACTACTCTGTTTTTTTTTTGTTTTTTTTGTGTTTTTTTTGTTTTTGCCATTGTCTTTCAACCAGTCAGCATTTTTAGATTAAATAATGATCCGTTTCTGTTGTGGGCTAAGAGAATTTAATTACTTTTAGGTCTTGTTGTATGATGTCCAGCTGAGACATAATAAATAGGATGAAACAAATGGGAAAAAGGATGTAATCGAGCAAGACAAAGCATTATATTAATAGAAGAAATATCTCTTCCCATATAGCTTAGACCTAAACTTAGAAATAAAAGTACTAGTGCACATTGGGCTTATAACCCACAGAGGCCATAGGCAAGATAAAATCATTTATCTGGTTGATACAGTATTTTACCAACGTTATGTTTCATACACAAGATATACCTGTAAATACATTCACCACATAAGAAAACACACCGTTAAGTGACTATAATGTAAATAAAATTTCTTGAAAACACTTTCAAAGCACTGGATGATTTCCCAATTCAGAATTTGGAGAATGCTATAGAATGACTTTATCATTGATGTTGTCCTGTCCATTAAGATGTGTAAAAGTTCTTTATTTCTCAACATATGTATCAAGCCAGAATGTTTCAGCTACAATTATTATTGACTCGTGTGTGTGTCGTGTGCCACTGAGTCAGCTCTGACTCCTGGCGACCCTATGAATGAGTGATGTCCAAAATGCCCAGCCCTCACCAGCCCTGCTCAGCTCCTGCAGACTCCCACCTAGGGCTTCCTTTATGGAGTCAATCCATCTCATATTTGGTCTTCCTCTTTTCCTGCTACCTACTATTTTCCCCAGAATTACTGTTATCTTGTATTTTAATTTTCACATTAATTTTAAGTCTAACCAGGCAATAGGAAAGCTCTTGATCAACAGGGGAGAACATCAGTATCAGCAAGTATGCAGAAAAATACTGATGTTGAATTTGAACCCAAATGTATTATTGATTAGATACACATATTCTATTCCTGTAAAGTCCTTTTTAATTAAGGTGAAAATCTATTGAGAATATTTTCACTATTAAATGTTTGTGTTGCACCACTTGAAATCTAACTACACAAATGCTCTAATAATTCCTATGCAATGGATAGCCTAGCATAGCAGATTCCTCCCAGAAAAATATGAGAACTAACATGCAGGTATAATCAAGTCAGATTTTAATTACTCCAAAAGATTCTTAATTAAAATAGGAATTATCTGACATTCTATTTGATATAATCCTAAGGAAACTGATGACTTAATGTTAGTAGAGAAGACTTTTCAGTGAAGAATTTTGAACACCCCAGTGTGAAGTTGAAAGTAGGTAAGCACTCTTGCTTTAATAAATAACTTATTTGGGGGAGGGTGATGCAACTTTTATGCATCTATCTGGAATCCAGATTCTGGACAAAGAAGTGTTTCATTACAGTAATTATCCAGATAGTTCAGACAAATCTTTTATGAGACAGGGGAATTGTAAGGTTGGCATGGTTTCCTGTTTGGATTATTCAGATTATCTGTCTTCATTGATAAAATTATTTGAAGAAATTGCTCAAGCTTACACATAACTTCTTTTAGAAAACAACCTTTGAATGGGCCTTTCATCTATTTGGATCAACCTGGTTATAAAATTTCAAATGGAATATCCTTAATAAGTCAATCTGGAAATCAGTAATTCAAGGGGGAAAAATCTGATGATTTGATTTAGGTAACTACCTCCGTCTCCCAAATCACTAAGCTGTTTCCTTCACTGTATTCAAGAGTTCATTTTTGCTAATTAGCAACTTTTCCTTCAGAGGTGTTTCTGCCTAATATTAGGTTAAATAAACCTGTGATGTTTATTTTGAAGAACTCACTTGACGTTAAGTTAATATTTCAATGAACTAAGATTGTATTGTCAAAATCTTAAATCAGATTTTAAAATTTCCTATCATAATAGAATTCTCAAATCATAACCATTGCATTTAAAATTCCTCTGTCCTATCGAAAATTTCATACATTTTTCACCTGCGAAATGAACACAGAACATTGTCTGAGGCATGCCTAAAATATTCATTTCCACTTATTTAAGGAGTAATGATTCACCAAATTAGTAAATCAGAGTGAGAAATAATCTCAAGAAAAAACACGAACATTTTTTTCTTTTTGTTGAAATTTGAAGTATTCTAAATATCCTCTGAAGCTTTAGAATACACTAGGCAATAAGGTTTGAGAAATTCCGTATGTATATGTCCTTTCCACTATATACAGATACTTATTAGAATCTTATAATAACATACCATGCACAATCCATCTTCATATTATTAAATCAGTAACATTTTATAGTTTCTTTGGTTAATCCTGAACCTAAAACATTTCTTATATTAGCAGTTGCAAATGCAAGATGATTCCTGATATGATATAAGAAATTGGGGGTGGGAGGAGGCCTATTTTGCACTTTGAACAAATAAACAGCAAACCTGGCAGCTAGCTTATGTTTTAAGATCGCAAGTGCCACTTGTAGAGGGCCAATGCTAGGAAATGAATAAAGTGGGAACAAAGATGCATGTTATATATGCATGACTTTTTTTCCCACAAGGTGGTGATTAAACTAAATAGAATTCTGCATAATGGACACATAAAAATATCAATACATGCCAAGCACAGAAAACCCCTATTAAAAATAAGCCAAAGAACATATCCATCGATGACATTTTAATTATGAAAGAAGTTCAAAAGCATCCAAGGAAAGTATTGGAGGGAAACTCTGATGTTTATGTCTCAAGAATAAATGACACATATTATCTCATTTTCATGAAACAATGATCATCACCCAAGCAACAAAACCAACCAACAAAAACCATTCACCGTCCAACCTAATTCTACGCAACTCAAGAAATAACCTGTGTGTGTAAAGAAAAAAAAAGGTACAGATCAAGTATTAAGAATCCAGATAGAGTGCTTATATTGAATTCTCAACATCTTCTCTCATGCATTAAGCCTTCCTCTATTTTACCATTATATAAACATAGCCATGTTATGTTGCATGGACAGGTTAACCCGAATAGTCCTCTTTTGCTTCCTCACTACACACAGCCCATTTCATTTTGAAAATACTCAGAAATTCTTGCAAGAAACTCTTCATAGAACTGACTGCCCGCATTTTGCATCAAACAGAAAAGCAGTTACCTCTCACGTACTTGAGATTTCCCTTCCCCATCAAAGTAATAACTAGGGCATCTGGCACATGTCTGGTACAATGACAGGCTCATTCTACTTTATGAGAATATTTAACATATGACTTGAAAGAGTTTATGCACATACCTATTCTTTCTGGGCAGAGAGAAAGCACGCTGGAAAGATAAGCTTTAACAACAGTAACACTTTCAAACTGACTTTGGTATTCTTGGCAGTTACACACACCGCCCACGGCTGTCCAAAACCCACACACACAAAAGACAGCCCCCCCCTCCCCCAGACCTGGGAGATAGACATAAACTGGACGGAAGCAAAGGGAAAGTCAATCTCCCTCCACCTGCTGCCTGAAGTGGGGGTACTTTCAGCCGCCTGGCAGACAGGAGCCTGAGATACAGCCTCAGCAGCAGCCTGCCAACATCCTTAAGAAAAATAAACAAACACACACCAACTTGTCTCCTACCCCCAACTAAAGAACTCACATGGCAGGGCTCAAAACATAACAGCAGCCCATTCCCATTAGCCTGGACAATCCTATTAACCAGGGCAACCATAAATTCATAAATCTCTACAACCCCAGGGCATGCATTGTGGTCTGGAACTGTACAGACACACACAGACACAGAGGAAATTTGCACCTGTCTTTCTTGACACAACACACCTGTCAGGCCCTGCTCATGCGCATTCTGTTAATAGACCTCTGCCTACCTAGTTTAGGAAAGGAAATGCTTTTTTTTTTTCTTTGTAAGAGAGGGTATAGGTGGGAGGGGAGAGAGAGAGAGTGAGTGAGAGAGAGAGAGAGAGAGAGAGAGAGAGCCAGCGCACAAGAGAAGAAACTTCTAGCCTTGACTTTGAGAGAAGGCCATCCTGTACTTGCTCTGTTTTTATAAGCTCAAGGAGACAACACAGACCTTCTTGGAAAAATTCAAACAAGCAGGTGAGTTCTCAGCCTTCCCCCAGGCGGAGTAGGGTTCTGGGTTGCCAAGAACAGCAGCAGTCACACTCCTACCTGCCTCCTTGGGCTATAGGAGACTATGGCCCAACCCCTCCTTCTGGTTTTTTTCTCTGCGGGCCTGAAGGACTCAACTTCGAAAGAGCTGAAAGGGGGCGGGAGACCTACAGTCTCTAGAAATCTACTCTCCCTTTATCTCCCTGCTACCCCCATACCAAATCCACACTCTCCAGCATCGTGCAGTTTTAGCAGGAGGAGTAACTGGCTGGCACACCAGAGGAACCAACAACTCTCTAAACTGGACTTTGGGTGATGTCTCCCCTCCAACCCCGCCGCCCCCCCGCCCTTGCCCCCGCGCTCCCCTCCTCGTCTGCTCAGGCAAGATAGCAGCCCTCCCCGCCCTCCTCACTGTTCTCCCCACTACCAATTACTCTCACCTCTCCTTTCCTCCCTCCCCAGGCCTCCAAACTGGGGCAAAACTGTAGGTACCACCCAGCCAAGACGAGGTCGAAGCAGTCCAACGCCACCGACTGCCAGCGATGCCTGCGAGACTCTCGGCCTGGCAGGTCCGCTGCCCAAGAACATCCCCCACCCGGACTGTGATCTGTCCGCTCCCCCGCGGCGCCGGGGCACCAACCCCTCCGCCCCACGACCCTCCGAAGCTCCCGGTGCCGCCTCACCCACTCCACTCGACCTACCCCGGGTTCCCTGGGGCTCAGGAGAGGGGCGCCGCGCTTGTTTCCCGGGACCATCCCTCCACCGCTCCAACCCCGATTCCAACATTTCGGCCACGACCGCGTTTACGGAGGAAAGTAGCAGAGCGCCCCCCTCTCTCCCGCTCCCTCCCCCCGGCCCTCCGCTGGGGTTAAAAGGGAAGTGAAAGGTATGCAAATGACAAGCAAATTGGAAGAGCCGGGAAGAAAGGCAGCTATAATAAACTAGACAAAGAGAAGGGACGCGGGGACTGGCCCCGGAGTTTTCACCGGGGGAGAAGGGAAGGATGAGGCTTGGCGGAAAGCGGGGATCCAGACGAACAAAAAGCGACCCTGTCCCCCTCGCGGTCCTCTCTCCTGAGAAGAGCGGGCAGGGGAGAAAGGAAGGGACGCGAACGCCCCCGCACACTCCAGACACAGTACACAAAAGGTGACAAGATCAGCGACAAGTCCAGCAATATCAGCCTCCCCCGAGCGCCACCACCACCCCCAGCCACCAGCAGGAAAGAGAAAGAAATAAAAGCCAAGCGGATCACTTACTCTTAGGAACTGGGAGGAGCGGAGCGCAGAGTTCCACGGAGACTCCTGCTCAGACACTGTTGAGAGGCTATTTTATTATGATTCATTTAAATAACACCACTTTCTCCCGGGGGGAAAATGTTTACACGGATAGAAGTCGTGGGAGTCTCTTTTCTTCCCATTCAAGAACAAGCCAGTACAAGTGATTCTGGAAAAGGGGAGGGGACTGGCGAGGGGACTGGCGAGGGGACAGAAGATACTTACGTGGTGCAGCGAGCAGGGGGACCGAGCCTTTTTTTTTTTTTTCCCCTGCCGGCAGAGAGGAAAACACGCGCGCTCTCACACCCGGTGATGGCTTGCGGGTGATGAATATAATAATTGGACAAGGGACGGTGAGTCTGTACGACAGCGAGCCGGCGATCGGGGCGAGTGGGAGAAGGGGGAGAGAGAAGAGGTGGGGAGGGGAGAGGGGAGGAGAGAAGAGAAAGGGAGAGCAGAGGAAAAGAGGAGAGAAGGGAAAAGAAGAGAGAAGAGAAGCGAGGAGGGAGCAAAAGCGGGGCGCGTGCGGCGCGGAGGAGCGCGGACCCGAGCGGAGCGGGAGCAGGCGGGCCGGCGGAGCTCCTGTGCGCCGCTCCGCGTCCCCGGCTGCAATGGTGTATTATTTCAGAGCGCTCCCTCAGCTGAGGGCTGCGCTCCACAACAAGATTTACTTTAAGACACAGCTGAAGGAAACAGGAAGACTGCACGTCACAGTCTGACTGACGTACCCGGCCCCAACACCCAATCGCGAGGCGCCTTCGGATTCAAGGGGGGATAGCGAGGCAGGAGAACTTGGGAGGAAAAAAATATATGAAAGGGGTGGGGGTAAGGGGCTGGGAAAAGAGGAGGGGAGCGGGGCCCCGCGCTCCTCCTCCCCCGCCTCCATCCCTGGCCCCTACCCCCCACCCCCCCGCCACTGCTTCGGGGCCACTGGATCACCGCGCCGGGGCCTGAGCGAGCCATCTGCGGGCACCGTGCAAAACGGGCGACAGCTCGGGCGGCGCTCCGCTCGCACTCGCTCTTCCAGGACGCAGGTCCTCTTTTTCTCCCCCCTTCGTTTCCCAGATACAGCTGATCGAGTTCGCCCAGTGGCCAAGCGAGTGAGTGTCTCTCGGACTTGGGTGAAGGAAGGCACGGAAAAGTATCCTGGAGAAAAAGTCTTTTTTTTTTTTTTTAAGGTGTGGGATGGTATAGCAGGAAGGAGTGGGATCCTGAAATCATTCCACTTTTAAAATGATTATAGGTAGTATCAAGAATACATGTTACTTTTGCAGAATTTTGAAGGGGAGGTGGACACTAAAATACAGGTAGGTTTGGGATTAAATAATAGATGCCAGAGGTTTTCCACACCAGCTCCACTGCATCTGGTATTAGAAGACCAGCATTGGTTGAATCCCAGTCAACCTCTGGTCAAAATTATTAAGAAGATGAATCCTTGCCCTTGGTTGCCTCTAACAACATAATTTGGATGGTAGGTACAGGAGCCTTCATGAAAATGTTAACAAACATTATCTCGCAGTTACCTCTCACTCACTCACCCCAGAATAATGAGAGAGAGAGGTTTCAAACAGGATTACACAGTTTTGACGCCTGGGTAACAAACTTTAACATTTATTAGGTAAGAAATTTCAAACGCTTAAATATCGGGCTTCAATGTAAAGTCATAGAAAATTCACTTTGGTTTGACATATCCTGGATGAAAAATAACCAGCAAGCTTTCTTTAGATAACGTGGCTCTCAAAGAGCTCCTTGGGGTTTGCAAGTTACAAACGCTAAGGAAGGAGCCTCCAGACCTGCAACTACAACGTCTTTCTCCCCGCACAGTAAATGGCTTTTAATAAAGCGACTGAGTTTATGACTTAAAGGTCCTATAAAAGCTAGAAGTTGCAAGGGCTGCAAAACAGAAACATTCATACCTGGTCGATTAGACACTCATTTTCTTAGGTAGGATAAGGGCAAGTATTCTGTGTGTGTCTCTCAAATTTAATCAGATCAAAGGTTGAATCATGTTGCATCCTGACAACAGGGTGTTTATGAGGTGTGTTACAAGCACTCGGCCACAGCCGAACACTACCACCAGCTTCTGCAAATGCACGCGCGCACACACACACACACACACACACACACACCCCTTTCATAGGCCATTTATCATTTCAGCTTCAAATTCATCAAACTGAGGAAATATTCTCTTTGAATACAACAGCAATGATATTATGTCCAACTCTATACCTTGTAGGAAACTTTTGGCACGGGATTTAAACATTGAAAAGAAGAAAAAAAAAAAATCAGGCTGGCTAGGTTAGGTGTCCAGGATAAGAAAAGAGACTTGCTTGAGCATCCTCAGCCTTCATTTCTTTTCTTTCGCAGCCCCTAGACATTCCCTGCACCCCGTTACTGAAAGGACACAGACGTGCGCAAACACACCACTCACACTTGCAGTGATGGGCTATTCTAGCAAGTGTTCTAATCGAGATGTGACAATTTAGGCTGGGAACAGAAGTAATCTATCAACGTGCCCATTAGATGCAGTATGTAATAATGTTTCTATTGGTTGGGTCCTTTCGAGGTAAGCGGGTGTCCTGAGCAGGAAATTTTGGATCAAGGATAGCGTCTTTCTTCTTTTCGTCCTATTATTTTCTTAAAGTATCCCAGGGCGTACATATGTTAGAGCCAGCCCATACATAAACTGGTAGGAGTAACGGATATATGCCCTCCACACCTTAAAACCATCTGCTCAGTTTGACATTTAAAAGGGAGGAGGGCAGGGAAGGAGGAGGGGTAGAAGAGGGACGAAAGGGAGCGGAAAGAAAAGATTCAGACTCGGGAAGGAATAGCTTGAACTGTGGCCCACAAGTTTATGTCGATTGCACCTAGCGCTCGGATGCACCTTTTGCACACACTATGCTCGTGAACTGGCGGCGGGGAAAAGTTCCCTTCGAGCCCCAGTAAGTCCTTTATTACTCCTGGAGTCGAAGTTGGGGTAACTCGCTTGGCAAACAAGGAAGCGCCCCCAACCCCAGCCTAGGCGGCCGAGGCTCGCGGCTCGCTCCGCTCCGCGGCGGCAGTTCGCACCCGCTTTAGGGCGCAGGAGCTGATGGTTGAAATAGGAGCGCGCGCGACGCTGGGCGAGCGAGCTCGGTCCGAAGCCCAGCTCCGTGAGCTGCGTACGCGGGGCCCTGTCCTGTCCCCTACTGTCGGGGCGACGTATAAGCCAGGCTCTTGGCCAACCTCTCCTGCCAGAGCTGCGGCGCTCTCCGGGATCTCGCGCGGCCCTGGAGCAAGGCGTGAGGCCGGAGCCCCCTATCTCCAGCGACTCCCGGTTTGTTTTCCGATAGTGAAGAAGCGATCAGTCAGCCCGGAGACGACAAGTCGCCTAGATATTGGCTCCATCTCCGAAGAAACCAGCGGCCAAACCTAGGGGTCAATTCCTTCCTCCGCGCCCCACTTCCAACACAACCCCAATAACTTAAAAGTTAACCCGAATTCTGACTGGTCTTCCAACAAACCCCATCCGTACAGGCTGCGTTTGCTTATGTATCTGAAGGGTGATCTGTGTATTCTTAGTCAAACTTGCAGTAATGACTTGTGCGTCTGGCTCTGGGTTAAACACACTTCTCCTTGATATTTCCTCGGTGTTTTTACCCCCTCCTGTTCTTCAGTGGGGATCCGAGGGAAGACCGCATATAAGTAATTTAAAACCTTGCAAACAACTGTCACCAGATCCCAAACAAACCAATTCTGGCAATTTCAACCAGATCCAGGTGAGAGATGAACGTGGGCGTGGATTTCAGGCTAAGGATGCTGGGGATCCTGCCCAGACACACACACAACACCATAGGTCATACACCTGCACCACAACCCTGAAGAGGGGAAGAGAAAGAAAGAAAAAACCCAACTCCAGGGTGCAGGCGGGCCTGCTCAGGCTGTCTAGAGGCAGACTGACCTCCATATTCTCATATTCTCTCTCTCTCTCTCTCTCTCTCTCTCTCTCTCTCTCTCTCCCTGTGCCCAGTGTGACGCCAAGCCCAACCTGAATTTGTTCTGAATGTCTGAATGGGGGAAAGTGAAATGCCACAAGATCAGTAGCAATAGCAGCTGCTGCGTTTCTCTCCTGGGAACCCCACTGCTTAGAAGCCTCCCGAGTGATGTTTGTTTAACCAACAGTTTTCAAAGTAAACAGAGGCGGATCACTCTAAAGAAGTTGAAATATAATCCTTACAAGAATTTTGGGTCAGGGTGCTGGCAGAAAAAGCAATTTTAAAAAATAATACAGCCCCCCCCCCCAATAATACTCCACCACAACAAGCTTAAAAGAAGCCAAAATTGTCATAAAAATATTAATTCATTGAAAGGATTCATTACTATCAAGTGACCTCGAAGCAGATCACTCTTTTCCGACAAACACTGCCCGCGGGGAGAGGGGTTGGTTGTCAGAGTGAAGGGGCAAACTACTCCTTGATTTTATGGAAGTGGGCAAAAACCATCAAAGGGAGGCACGTTCCCTGCCCTGTAGTAGAAAAGAGAGGGCCGAGAGCGCTGCGCCGCCAGCCCTGGCTTTGCCTCAGGCACCGAACTTTCCAATATCAAGATATTAACAGATGGTGGTGAGCACATGGAGGGCTGTTACTTACATAATCCAGCCACTCTGCCCCGCCGCGCCGAGCCCGGCTAGGCGCCCGCCAGGCCGCGCGCGCGCCTTGCGAGGGGTGCTGTTGCCCCCGAAATAACTTGCCTTTCTCTAACCCCACTGGCCTCTTTGAGGGCTAGAATTTAGAAAGGTCCTGATCTCAGGGGAAAAAAAAATGCACATCGATCTGGTTGTGCTTTATTCTTCAGTTCACGGTAGTGAAGAAGCTGGAGACCAAAGGGCCGAGGGAAGAGAAGGGGACGCTTTCGGGGAGAACGGGACCTTCTCCCTCAGTAACGGGGTGCCAGGTAGTAGAATTTCCGCGATTTACACCCCTCCCTCTTTGGCTTAAATTAGCATATCTTTCACTGTCACCGAAATACAATGGCAGGCTCGGGCCGAAGCCGAGGGTTGGGTGGGTGAGGGTGTGAGTGTGCGGAGACGCCTTTGCACGCGGGGGCGCAGTGGGCAAAGTTACGCACAGCCTGGGGCACCGCTACACTTCGAGCGTTCGCAGGTTTTAAGCACTGGTTCTCGCGCGCGGGGCGTCCCTTTCGGCTGTGAGGCCGCCCGCTGCCATCGCGCCCTCAGCCACCTCCCCGGAGGCCCAGTCCCTCCCGGTGTGCCTGTGTACCTCCG